GAAAAAATCAACATAAATAATTCATGAACCGTTCTTAGTCACTGCTTGAGTATCAAATCAACAAGCGTCCTGTACAATCAATTACACATTTATCTATATAATTTCTTGTTTCCCCTAAGAGGGATCTCCCATGTTGGGACTTTGGTTCCCCCTACAATCTTACTGCATCTACAAAAGATATATAATGAACACAATCTAGCACAGTAAAATGAATTCAAAACTCATATATAATACGAAATATATTTGGACATTCACTCTAGTATTATCCCACTCCCTATTCCCCTATTTCTCTCACTGTACCCTTTCATTTTTTCACCCTACTATATTCTTAGTTTACCCTTAAACACTAAACACTACAACCACACAAGCCACTCATCGGCCTCAATCTGGCCACAGACGCACCTTACCCTTTTGGCCACACATACACTTCATTTCTGTCACTCCACCATCGGCTTCACTCAGCCACACACACACGCCAGCCTTTCCCTGGCCACACAGGCACCCACTTTAGCAATATACAGCCACTCACACACACATCAAGCCCTCCACTATCACGCTGACTGTACACTACCACACACACACACACACACATCGACTGTTCTCGGCCATACACATCGATAGTATCCTTCCACTCATGTACACACCGACCGTTCCTGGCCATGCACATCCCCAACAACAATTTGCAGCCACGCACACACACACATCAAGCCCTCCCATCTGACTGTACACTACCACAACGCACACACGCATAATATACTGCCACTCACACATACATCGCCTTTTTGTGGCCACACACATACCAATTTTTCCTAAGCACACCCACACGCACCGGCCTACTCCGAGCTACACACACATGCATAATAATAACACACACACGCCACACTACTCACAATACACACACCATGTACTCGGTAATGAATAAACACTTAAGCCGACACCACTTTTTACTCTACCGTCATCAGTAGCCCTCCTCTTCTCCAGTCCTGATTATCGGTACATCACCAACGAAATCGCTCCCAAACCTCACCATACCTTATTCTAATTACATTTTGGCCGATCCTCTTCCCTCTACCTCTCTCATACTCAGCTCCTTATCCATTTCTCACGTCCCTTCCTTCTCCCGTTTGGAGTTCCTCTATATAAGTAATCTATACCGAAATCTAATCCCTGTATCACCAGAATAATATATGAGTATTATTTTACCTCCAGCTTCCATCTCCTCCTAGCTTAGTAAAATCCTCTCCACCGGTATGTTTCTTCGACTCACTGTCACCGATTTCACTTTTCCCTATTCCCTCTTCTTCTTTCTTATCGACCGACTCCTTCTCTTCCCCACTCTTTCTGTTTTTTTTCCCACCCCCTATTATATATCCTCCTCCAATCAAATCCTACCCATC